CGTCCGCAACTCATTTGGCTCATCAAGACATGAACTCAGAAAACCAGCTGCCTATGGGTAATTTTTCCGAACCACCTAACCGTGAATCGGCTCAGCAAAATAAATGGCCACTGACCCACAACCAGATTCAAGCCACGACTAGCCAAACAAATTTCCCTTCACCAATTCCTGTCTCTTCCTCTCAGATGTCGCATAGCTTTTCCCCTGTCGTTGGTACCCCAGCAACTGCGCCGTGTACCGGGCCGCATTCGATGACCACTAAAGGCCCTGTACAGCAATCACAACCGTTCACTGCTTTATCAACTGTATCAGAAGCTCAGTTACAAACATTGCAATCTATTACTCAGAACGCTTTGGATTTGGGCCAGAATTTCAGCGTTAGGTCGGGCAATATCCAACCTCAGGCACTGAACAAGGTTAGTTTTCTGTCTGTGATTTTGCTTTTTTTCTCCCTTTCGGTCTTTCTGATCTATCCTACTCTGTTATTTTCATTGAATGGACATGGAAGCAGGAATTAGCGCACACTGATAATGGTGGATACTATCTGATGACCGTCACTAAATTCATGCTCATCTCAGTGATATTCTTCAAGAAACGGTGGGCAACCGTCTTTTGCCAACGTGTGTTCGCAGTTGCATATTCATTCATTCTTGCTCACCCAGTGGATTTGTTCCATTTTTCGCACGTGTTTTGAATCACTATCTTTCAATAATCGTGTTATCTGTAGTCAAATAGTTTTATTCTCGGATAGTGCCCCCTCTTTTTGAAAACTACAACTCATTCTTACAGACAGTTGGTTCCCATTAGGAATCACTGCTTTCTTGTGTCTCTAAGCTTATTGAATTCCTTAGACTGTTGGATCAGGTAAAGTAAACGTTTCCGATATCTGTTGACCAGTGTCTTACCAAGTGATGCTGGCAGTGATGACCCTGAGTGAACACGTGAGTATAAGTATCTTGTGAAATGGACGTAGATGCTGATCAGGGAATAGGGGAACATTGCTCAAACTCTCAGCGATTGGGAGAACCGGAGTTAGCCAAGCAATTTATGGAAGAGGCAAACTGGTTCTCTGCAGTTTAAAGTCATAAGCTGATTCCAGGGTGAAATAATCCTATTCGGTTGGCTAGATGCCATCCGGTTTACCTTGATACAAGCAACTGAAGCTACAAAGTCAGTGTCACTTGAATCTACAACACCAGAGGTGCGTGCGATCGTTTATCACAGTACTGGGGAGCTAAAGATTTACTGAGAGCGTCAGATTTATTCTTATTTCTATTTCTTGTCAGATTCGGTTCTCTGGAAAAATATATAACTTCTCTGCTATAAGACGTTCAGCTTGGCCATTCTTCTCATTTGTAACGAGCTAGTTACAAATCGTTCACATTAGAGCCGCTAGAATTACGGCGATATGGGTTCGTTTATTATGGGTGTTGATGATGATGACTTTGAATATCCGATTGATTACTTCCATCCTTGTGTGCTTTCATTTAATAATAAGCCTTGATCTATGAAACTGTATAAAATTTCACTAATAGCCTTTCTCAAATTTCAAGAAATATGGTTCGTACGTTAAAAGTCAACACTTTCAATCAAATTATGTTGCTGTCTAAAACCCAAGTGTAAGTACGTAAAACGGTTACGGATGCTCTCAGTTTGCTTGTATTTCTTGTTTTATCCAGTGTCGTTTATCATCACAATTCGGCATTTAATTCCAGTCCGATCCAAAGCAGTAATAGTAGTAAATAGTAAAGTAATTGTAGTAAATCTGTTGCGTTGTGACTATTTCGGTCAATAGAGTGATCTGGTAACGTTCGAATCTATCACTCCAGAACGGGATGCGCAGATGGCTTTGTTCGTGTTTTTTGGCATCTGATCGATCGACTGATCAATCAGCTGACCGGTAATTTCAAGGTCACGTGCGCATGCATTCTAGGCGCATTTCTCGCTGGCTCGCCGATACTTAGCCACTTAAAAGTCCTTCTCCGCGATGTGGGTCATTTGGCTGGTTAATAATTGTTGGTTTGTTTCTNTTTGTTTCTGGTCCGTTGGCTGGGTGAGACATACGTACTTTTATGCTGACCGATCCGCTCGAGACAAACGTGCATCTCACAACGATTGGTTGTGATTGTGTCGTCTGTGAAACGTGACCTACTTCATCCTCTTCCCACTGTTGATACGCTTATTAATCAGGGTGCTGTTCTGGGAACAGCAGTTTTAACACTACCGTACTGATCTAATAATCGAACTATTTATTCCGGAAGCTGTTCAGGGATTGCCTCCGGGCCCCTGATGTCGTTATGTGCTTTTCAGTTCAATCGTTGTCATTGATTTTATTTGTTGTGGCTGAATCAGGTGACTTTGTTGTTAAGTGTGTGTTGATCCATACACTTCGATGACCATTGCAACCAGTATCTGTACGGTTTCATATATACAAATAATAAGCAATGAACGCCCAGACCAGCTTGAGGAGAAAAGTTATGGCCTGTCAAGCAACAAATGATAGGGTAAGGCGATGATGATGGTGGGGTTTGAATACAAACCACGAGACGCGATGATCGAATAGTTTATTTCACCACCGCCCTAACTGTACAGTAGTGGTTCCTGGTTTTTCGGTTTTTGGTCTCCGTGGTTCTCTCTGTTCCTGTAAAACACATTTATTATCTTCAAATTGGTGATCTAATGTTATTTTATTTAAAATCGATAAAAATGAATCAGTAGCGAATCTGTTATCACTTTCTTACATTCTTATTTTGTTCAATTGTGTACATTTCCGATTGCTACTTGTTGACTGACTGTACAATCTGTTTCCTCCTGGAGACTGCACATAGTTCTCTGTGTCCATTTTGTTACAAAACATTGATCGTTGGAATTGGTTTTGACCATATTTCGCTGCAAGCGAACTTTCCTTGCTTGATGAAACCGGTACATTGAAAATGGATAAACAGGACTAAACTTTGGTTTTCTTTGTCTTTTCAATCTCATCTAGAGTTCCACAGATCATTCCGATTTGTCCGAACTTCCACGAAATCCCAGTCTGAGCAAAATAGGAACATCTAGTGACTCGTCTTCCGGTTCACCACAACTACAGACGGATAGTACAGACTTGGGCATGAGACGACCCTCGACTGGGTCGCGAAACGCCGCGCTGTTATTGAATGGGAATTATACAAATTGGCCCCAATCACCCATTCTCATCTCTTCGCCGTTCAATAATCCGGGTTACGAGTTGGAACGACTATCGTTGCAACGGGAGTTGGACGAGGTACGACAACGACTGGATTCAGTAAGTTACTCCTTGTGAATCTCGTATTCCTCCGTTCTTGTTTACAGTTTCGTTAACTGTTAATCACTCCGTGCGTCTGTCTCAACTTACCTGAGACTGGTTGCTGAAATGGTTGGTCTATATGCCCACGAATGCGAAAGATTTGCTTAGGTTTACTGCAAAAGGTTCTTTTAAAACCGTTCTAAAGTGCCGTTTTATATGGCGATGCGTTGGGTTCACATCGGCACTCAGAGCACGATGATTATTCTAAAGGACCTAATATTTTAGCGCTGAAATCGTCTGCTTCCTAAATGCGTCGTTGCTATTGTAGACCGAATCAAGGAAAACTTTTCACTAATTTCAATAACAGAACTATGTGGCACACACTACGGAGATAGTCAACATCCTTTTCCCCATTCACCTCCATGTAATTTTATTTGTGTTGTACGCCTCATATGCTCGGTGTGTTGAAGTGTTGCTTATTTTTTCTTGGCCGGCCCCTTTCAAATTAACCCTCTGATGATAATCGTCATTTTCTTAGTTCAGTAACGGATTTTAACGTTACGCGATCGGTTCGGTTGCCTCATCCTCTATCCCTATCTGGTCTGTTTAGTAGCAGTTTTGGTTTCCCTGTGTCTGTCCCTGTCCCCTTGAAGCTAAGGGTGGTTAAATCGTCTATCCCTCGCATTCGCGTACGGGTGCGCCTCGGTCGATGCGCCTTTGTACGTGTTTCCGCAACTATGTGTCGTCTGTGATCGTGATGGTTACTAGACGGAATGTGCGTACTTACATGCGCAGCACTGGTGACCTTGGTTACATAATATTCAAACAGCAACCTAATGGAGGCTCACGCCCACTGCAATTCCCTCATGTGATTCGCTTATATGCGTTACAGTCATGGGATCATTTCCTTTCCACCCAAACCTCTCATTCGATCGATCCTTTTAGCAAACCTTGCAATTGTCGGTTCAGACCATACGAACACATGCATATATAATATTATATCATTTTCTGTAACAATTATTTACCTCTATTGATTTTTCCATGTGGTGAAGAAACGACAGAACAATTCATATTTTCATGGAAGATCATCAGAAGATAATCCATTAGTTTGTTTCGAATGATTGATGTTTCAGGTCACCTTGTTCCAGTCCTCACAAGTTTGGCCCGTTTTTTTTGCTGTGAAAAGCGCCATTCTATTTCCCTTGATTTCTGATCACCACTCTTCGTTTTTTTCTACACTAGAAAGAAGATGAACTAGAAGCGATCAAACGTCAGCGTGATTTCGTGGCAGAACATTTGCGGGATTCCTTGGGCGTAATCCAGAAATTGTTTCACTCCTTGCACGTCTCTCCATCCGACCTATCCCGTCCACTCTATGTGGACACGGATCACCCTGGTACTGGTAGTGATCCAAGCACTGGTGGCTACAGTGCGACCGGTCTCACCGCATCCGAGGTCTCCCCTATGCCTGACGAAGAAGATCCGATTGGCACAGAACATCCTCACCACGTAATAACGGAATCCGCGCAAATGAACTCCGTGTCACAGCAACACTCACCTGGGAACACCAGTAATGAGGTGTTACTAGATCGCAGACAGTTGCAACAGCAACAGGAAGCACTAGCCGCATTGTTTGCAAATCCATTTGTCACGGCATTGCTAAACTCAACAAATTCAGGGCTCGATCCCAATGTCGGTCTCGGGGTTGGCGCGAATTCAGTACCGGTGTGTTTTTTTAGGATTTTTGTTCTTGTTTTGTTTCCTATATTGTCTTACACCTGAATAGTTTTCACTCTTCATTTGTTAATACGGAGATTTCCATGATCTAATCCGACTAGCATTTTACAGACGAGTTGGTAATTGTACAGGGTCCCAGACCTAAAGCATTTCGTTTCGTTCATCTCATGCCGAAAACGGTAGCCGCAGGAATAAGCGGAATATATTTTATGATTGGTAACCCGTCGAATTCGAGCACCGTACCCCTCTCTCCTTGCGTGATCCGTAAACACCACTCGTATCCTAACTCTATCGATATGCTTGTCTCATAGAGATCAACTATTGCTATTGGGGGCATTGATGATCTGTGACTTTGTGCATGTACACGTAATGAGCTTGCATAGACCAAATGGAGCGACTCAAACAGAATCCCGCAATCCAACGTATACCTTGTGTCACTAGATACGATATCTGCAAGCCTCGCCGTGAACAGTTTTCCCGTATTCTGTGTTTCTATCCTAGTACTTCTCTCAGCTTTTCACTCCCTTGCGTTCTCGTTTTATAAGAGCAGTTGGAAAATACCAAACAGGACTGGCACACTGAAGTGCACGGTTAGTGACTGCACAAATTGAACTGTCTACACATTTGCATTACAAGTGATCATGATGTTTACGATAGGATGTTCTGTCTAGCTTTCCCTCCATGCTCATGGAGAAATGGTGAAGGGAATCACCCATACTCGAAGCTCAAAGAATATCTCCTCCGTTAGGGCGGTAGCTTTTTTAAGCAACGTATTCCATTCAGCGAACAGGGGAATGTGAGACTGATCTAACCTAGTAATCAGAACTGATTATCATTGTTTTATGAGCATTGCTCTATCTCGACCATGAAGTATACCCCACAGACTTATCTGATTAAGGCAACCGATGTTGGCGCGTTATTGGTTGTCAGTGGTGGCAGACCATTTCGGCGATTCCTAGTTACCTTGTTCTAGCAACTTACAATTCTGCCTTTGATGATCTATCATCTTCAATTGGGTACGGGGAGAACAAGAGGGATTTGGGAAAAAAATTACCCGTCGCTTACAATTATCCATATACTTAGGTTTGTCATTCTTTGCAGTTATAGTAACTACCTTTCTGTTTATTGTGATGTTGGGTGGTGGTGGTAGTAGTAGTAGTAGTAGTACCGAACCTCATTCACGGGATCGGTTATAATATTGCCTCACATCAGACGCAACATATCTGTGAAAACGTACACTTCTGTTGGCTTCTGTTAGCTGAATGCCATTAAAATGTACGATTTCTCGATTCTGACGACAGTTTGTGGGTGCATCAGTTAGAAAATAACAGCCACAGTAAAATAATACAACTGAACTTTATTTCTCAAAATAACTCGTAGAATTCCTATAGGTANCCTATAGGTACATTGTACTTTCATCTTGTCCCTGTTCTTTTTGCCCTTCTTCTTCTTCATTTTTGAGCACTGGAGGCAATCGCTTTGGCATGGAGTCCACCAAGTTGACTGTCCAACAGAATTTTCCAGTTTCTTCTAATACGTGCCACACCCTAACCACTGTCAAGACAGCTAAATAATCTCTGTTTCAAACACAAGGAGAATTTGTCGATTACATCCAAATCCCAACTGTTGGGCGGTAATTAAAAGAATTCGATATTGGTATTGACCCGTTCAGAAATTGCATAAATACAAACAAATAATATTTAATGAGGTCAAACCGTTTTCTACTAACAACTTCAAGCGAGAAGATATGCCAACCTTTATCTGTGAAAAAATATGACTTCCGCGAGTGCATTTTGGCAGTGATGGTTATCAAAAACTTCCCTTATCAGTGCATGGAATTTTCCCATATACAGATTGGTGTGTGCAGGAGACCAAGGTGCTCAGTATTTATTTATCTTCCAATCACCTCAGGTGTGTGTGTGTGTGTGTGTGGATATCTACTTCTTTTGATAGGTGAAAGGAAACTCATTGCAAAACTAGGTAAGTAGATCAGCTTTTACTTCATGCTAAATCGACGGGCGATGCAATTTTTAAAATCAATACGTGCTCTGTTTTGTTGGGCGTTCAGTAAGGGCTTCATATCTGGTGGCCTCAGTTGCATTGCAAACGGTAGCGTGAGGAAAAACGGTTGATCCGCCTAAACTATTTCCATGTTGGTTGTGTGCAACTGTTCTCCGCTGCGAAAAAATTCTACCATCATCATACTTCTATCTGATTGTCCCCCCCCCCTATTGGTTTATGTATTGATGGAGAAATTCCATTGATTGTGCAAAAAAATTGGGCTTATGTTCGCATCGAATCACTTGCATTAGCAAAGAACTGAGTCATCGAATTTATGTGCCTCTCGATTAAGTTGCCTCTCGGCTTCAATTATATGCCAAATTTTTCGAACGTTTCATCCGGTTTGGGTATAGTGACACTGCAATATGTTTATTCAACGAGCCGTACATCTCAAGGTCCACTTTTATGTTTCTTGGAATATATTTTCAGTTCTTTCAATATCAGAGATGACACGAGAGTGGTTTGTAACCAAATAATTTATCAATTTATTAAGGCTAGAAAATTTTCATCAATTGGCTTATTTACCGTACACTGAATGATAAGAGATGAGCAATTTAGAATAAGTGCTTACAGCCCAATGAACACTAATGAAACAAGAATCATTCATGAGAAGGAATGATTTTCCTTGATGCTCTGCTCTGCCGTAACTTTCTAACTATTAGAAATTTTATCGCGGCACTCAAGGTGGCGCAAAGTCAAACGGTGATCGGCGAGAACTAAGAACGTAGAAGTGGGAGATAAAGTCAGGAATAAATACACCGTACCCATTGTAATCAATATACAAGCAATATATTGGAAACTGAAAAGTATTTCCAAATTGAAAGTGTTGTTGCACGAGTTTGATCAATACCTGTAGTGTGCTTCGATCTCCCACTACCTCGGTCATGGCGGTTTTCTCACGTCCTCATATCCCGCCCGTTAACTTGTCATTAATTCTCAGATCGTCTCTATTTGTGACTTGTACGCTCTTATATATAACGTTAAAGGAAGAGCTACTGGTTTGTGAATAGGTTTGGAATTAAACCAAAGATTTTTTGTCAGAATACGACTTCGTGTCGAGCTCTTTGTCATTCACTCAAAACATGTGTCATCTCTGTTTACCTCTTTCAATGTCTTTGTCAATTAGCTATGGTCCCGTACTGCCGCAGACCCTCCGACAAAAGAAACCTGCCTGACTGATCGCTCAGCCCCTAGCTTCGAGAAGACAGGGATTACTGGCATTGTGAATACCGATCCTGTGTTAACTGATTCCAAAGGAGAGCAGCGGACTCCTAACGATCGGGCTACCACTCAACCCGTCATAACCGGTTCAACGCAAACGCCGAACGAAGTTCACTCAAACCTTGCATGAGTCGTCGCCAATCGTGGCGCCATTATAGTGCCGGACACAGATACTTTCAGGTCCCGGTCAACTTCGATTGTGGTTAACTGGCCTGATCCGTTTCCGCGAGCATACTAATCTATTTCCTATTTATTATCAATACAGACCAACTGTTTTAACCTCCTCTCTTTCCCACCCACATAGGTAGCACCATTCACATTGTCATCTTCAGGGACATGTTTCATTCATCCAGTTCACACTTTTCCGGTCTTTGGACGAATTTGTTTTGTCTCACCTTTATAATACGCCACGATCCCTGTTCCCAAAGGTTGACAGTTGTTATTTGCTCCGTCTCTCCCGTTCTCTCCTATCTCTTTTGTGTGTGTGTGTCATGCGTAACTAGTGATATTTCAATCTTTAAATCCATCTGACTTTCCTTTATTGTTTGCACTCCCGGTTTGATTACGGGCTCTACTTCTTGCTCTTGGTTTCCCTCACACACACACGCCTCCTAGCCGTACACTATTCATCGTTGCCATTATCATATTTGACGTGTCACATCGTGCAAACTTTACTCGCGCCTCCTCTTTTCTTTGTTCTTTTCTAGCTCTTGTTCATCATTATTTTTTCTAGGTCACTTCGGCGACTCATGCTCTGTCGGATTCTTCTCACTCAGTCCCACACACAGGTTGTTCACCCCACCATCCTGTTTCTTTTTTTCCCGACTCACTTTAACTCCGTTCCTTTTGGGTGATAGTGCTATGTTAAAACATATTTGTAGGACTTTAACTGTTTAGCCATTTGTTCTTCTTGTGTGTGTGCATATGTACGTTGTTCGCCGGTCCGCGGTTTCATTCGTTCGAACGATTCCGGAAGAGTTTCATGCAGTTCTCATTCTCCTCGTCCATCATCATTGCATATCCACCCGGCCAGAGAGATACACTGGTCTACGAGTAGTCATCGTGTGCTCGCTTTGACCGTACATGGAGCACGATGGGACGAAACTTGCGCTGGGCGTTCCAGTCGCTCGCAATGTGATTTCACGATACATCCATCGTCTCGCTTTACTACATGGACATTTCTAATCTGTTTTTGTCGTATCTAACCAGCATCGAGTCTCCCCGTATCTGAATCCTATCACCCTCAACTTCTTCACCAATTGTGCAACCCTCCTTTCTCTCTCTGTCTCTCTCTGTTTGTCTTTCATCTCATGCGGTCTTTTTCATTACCTCGATTTTCTTTTGCAACTTGGCATCAAGCAGATATTCACTCTCGTTTATGCAAAGCACGCCTCTCATTAGTGTGTATCATTTCAAATCATGCACTCAGGTTTATTCTCGCCACTGTCAGATTCGGGAATTATGGGACGTGTGTGTGTGCAACCGTTGTACTGATTCGCGAGCATTCATACTTCCACTCGGTCCGTGGATTTATTTTATATGTCCTACCAGCGGTATCGATCGTTATTATTGCCATCGTTATCATCATCATCATCATCGTCAACGTCTTCTCTCATGCAACAACTTACAGTTCTCCTCGCCTCGACCCTGTTACATATGCTGTTTTCGTTAGTAGTCGGTTTCATCGGGAAAGTCTACATCGCAGATTTTGTTGCTTGACTAAAGGCATTGCAGTTCTTATTATTGTCGTACTATTGCTACCACTAATGTTTACTACTCCAACTATCACTATTTCTTTATCATTCTGGTCTTGTGATGAAAATGATTATTATTATTAAGCTGATTATCTTTTACGACTATTCCTACTGTACTATCCTTTATTTTCTAATCGCTCATCGACACATTGTCATTGTTGACCCTTCGCGCATCTGTGTTCTTCTCGTTTGGCCTTCTAGATAGATGCTGTCATGCGGGCTTGATTTCTTTTGCTTGCGTTCAGGCGAATTTATTGCTGCTGGTGAGCCGTGATTTGCCTGTCTTGTTTTTTTTGTGTGGGTTTTTTGTACACTATTTTATCACCACCGTAATCATCCGTATGAGACCCGGACGATTTCAGATAGCACCGCTAATTTCAGCCATCCCCACGACATATTTTCTGTTCCTTTTGCTTGTCATTTCATCCCGAGTTTAATAGTGCTTTTTCTCCTTGAACTGTTTTTCGTTTGCCAGTGAAACCGGAACAACCGTTCACCTTCTCTCTCCTATTCCCTCGGTTGGTCAAACCGATCAATTGATTTTTCTTGCTCTGCGTGGGTGGAGGGTTATGAGCGCACATGGACACGTGCCAGTATTGATTCTCTGTTGCCATCGAAACGCATTCAGTCCATTCCATTGTTATGTGAATCTCTTTTCCCCCCCACCCACCCATCGGGACGTATACACGCGCCTTCTCACGCTCTGCTTTCTCTCACCCCGAACTGTGTTACCCACCAATCGTGATTCAGGATCAGAAGCACATCCCTTTCTACCGGTCCACCACATATTTTACACAACCAATCCCATCAGCGCCACGTGATTCTGTCCCTGAAGGTCGTGCACGTGAGACGAGACTGCGCGCACCTACGCGCATTTACTGTCGGTTTACGAAATCGCACGTGTTCGCTCGGGCTACGAGAACACGTGGTTTCATGCGCGCTCGTTGGCATCGACCTGCTTCTCTCGTGCCTCCCTATCCCGATTGTCAGAACGT